GCCGAGGCGCCATGGCCGAGCGCGGCGCTGCGGGCGGCCCCTGGAAGCGGCACGTCCTCCGGCAGCTGCAGCGGCGCGACCGGCGCACGGCCCAGACCTGTGAGTGCGGCGGGGCGGCGGCGGGCGAGCATGTGCAGAGGGCCGCCCCGGGGAGGGGGGAACGGGGCGCCCGCGGGCGCCGGGTTGGGCTGCCTTCCCTTCCTGGGTCCGATGGCCTCCTCCAGTGTAGGGTGGCCGGGGGATGTCCTCTCAGCGTTGCCAGCTCTGTGTCGGACAATACCTGGAGACTTTGGGGGTAGAGCCAGGAGAGGGCGGATTTTGGGGAGGGGGAGGGACCTCAGCACGGTGCAGTGCCATAGAGTCCACCCTCACAAAGCTGTCATTTCCAGGGGCGCTGATCTCTGTCACTTGGAGATCAGTTGTAAAAGCGGGAGATCTCCAGGCCGCACCTGGAGGCTGGCAACCGCACATCCTCTTTTGGGCTCTTTTTTAAACAACAACAACAACAACCCCCAAACGGATGACAATGTCCTGTTTGGGGATTTGGAAGCAGTGTTCCCGCTAAGCTTAGTTGGTGTGAGCCCGCTCCCAGTTTTTTTAGCCTCCGGCTCACTCCTTTTTGCCTTCGCCCAGGAAGGGGGCCTCGAAAGCAAATTGATTGATGCAGCGGCCAAGTCGCTGGCTCACAACTTTAATGCCCACTGGCTCACAAAGTTGAATTTTTGCTCACAAGACTCGACAGCGTAGAGGGCGCATTGGTTGGAAGGTGAGGATTCATATTCCTAGTTAGGAGAGATGTGCACCGCTTCAATAGGAGGTCATAGGGATCATCCCTTGTTTGAAGTAGGCAGTCGGGAAATCGGGCCTCCTTTGGGCTTCTCAAAACAAGGCAAGCCTCCAACAACCCTAGGAGGTAGGCTGAGAGGGAGAGAGAGAGTGCGACCGGTCCCAGAGCTCCAAGCCAGCATCCTGTGGATTTGAACCTGGGATGTGGGATTTTGTTTATCCATTTATTTATTATTTAGACTTTTAGGTTGCCCTTCTCTGCAAGTAGGGGGCTGTGGTGGTTCAGTGCTTGGCTGTTCGAGACCCGAGTGCCGCATGACGGAGTGAGCTCCGTCTCTGGCCCCGGCTCCTGCCAGCCTAGCAGTTCGAAAGCAAGAAATTGCGAGTAGATCAATAGGTACCCTGCCGGTGGGAAGGTGACAGCATTCCGTGCGCCTCGGCGTCTAGTCATGCCGGCCACATGACCACATGACCACGGAGAAGTCTTCGACAGCACTGGCTCTTTGGCTTGGAAACGGAGACGAGCACCGCCCCCTGTCACTTTAAATACTTAAGCTATTTTCATAGCGCAGTATGCATAGTTTTCCAACCCAGTTACTCTAACAACAACTACTCCACACTGGTGCTTTGGGAGACGGGCTGGATGCAGAATATTTTGGCTGTCCCAAACAGATGTGTGTGTGTGTGAGAGGGGGAGAGAGGGGGGGAATCTATTGGGGGAAAAGGAAACTCACCTTTGTGACATTTTCCTTGCTGTCCAAGGAGATCACCCTGGATTGTCACCCCAGATCTTAACAAAACGGCTCCCCAGTTGTGTTTGGGCTTTAGTCTGCTGTTTGCTTAAAGACAATTCTATTGAGGACACTTTGGCTACACAATCATAGGAAGGCACTTTCTGGGCCAGAAATTATTATTATTATTATCAATATTACGAGTGAAGCACCACTTGGCCTGTGATTTATATTTTATATCTGTGTGATTGTGCTGTACTATTATATAAGCCAGTATGTTCCTCACTGTGTTTGACCTCTGAAGAAGGCCTGTGCAGGCCGAAACGCGTCAGGTCAAGTCCATTGGCCCGTGTGTGTTAGATTCTGGTATTTTTACATGAGGTGTGATCGGGCCCTTATACATTTTTTAAAATCCTTTGTTAATAAATACACGTATCTTTTTATATACTATGTATATATTAAGCTTTTATTGTTGGCCCTCTTTTCTATTTGACTAACCTTTTCAGGTTCTGGATCCCAGGTTTCTAGGTTCAGTATGTGTCC